CGAGCGAGAGAAAGAGGGACGTGAGGGAGTTTCGTAAAGTGTCTCGTCGTTTCTGTCGGGGAACGACACACATGTCCGTAATATCGACTCCCGAACGCGATGATAGCTCGAACCGTTTCGAGAATTTATGAGACAGGTTCGAGATATATGTTTATACTTAACTAAATGTTTATTATTTTGTTTATTAACGTCACAGTTTAAGCGTTACTTTAATCTCGTAACGTTTGGTCCTCACGTTACTATATATAAGCTTTTGGAATTTTTGCAAAGTCGAAAAAAATTTTTTCTCTGAAAAAAATCTGAAGTCTCAACGTACCGATAGCAGAATTTCAAATATCCACGTACTTCACATGTATTCGATACCGGTGCACCATGTTTCGAATTTTCGACGAGTAGTGCCTGCTTTCCGTTACTATGATCCTTACGGTGCGCGCCGACAAAGATATTTCCAATCCTCGGAGAGGAAGGAAGTTTAAAGTCGCTTGGCGAGAGGCCAATGCTCGTACTACTATACCCTATTTCAAGATTACCAAGAAAGCAGCCAAGCAAACGATACCTCTTCCCCATCGCCACCATCGAAGTCGTACAATCCCCTTTTCGGAGTGAAAGGAGACAAAGAGAGAGAAAGAGAGCGTACGCAAGTCGAAGGAAAGATTTAATTTATCGAAGCCGAAGAGCAGACACGGCTGAAAGTGTCTGTCCTTCTTAATAGTCATCGACGTCGCATTTATCGTAATGAGCTCATTCTTCTAGAGGGTAATGTCGCAAGTAATAGCGTCACTTTGACCGCTCTCGAAAAAATTTTACTTTATGTCATCATGTCACATTTGACGTTAAATATGATCACCTGAATTCAATTGATTTAATTTGCGTTATAAATATAAAAATTTTATACTCATGTAACATAATAAAAATTTCATACTCATGTAACATAATTATTATAATTATTATAATTAATGATAAATAAGATTATTAATGTAACATAATTAATTGTAATTTAGATGCAATCGTTATATATGATAGCGATATTCGCGATAATTTCAGGATGATTTTAAATGAATGTTGACATACACAAGACACATGTACACAAATATCAATTTCAATGATCATTATAGCGGATTATTAAGAAATATTAATCAGGAT